CAAATGGCGACAATTATGCACACAGATCCTCCACTGGTTTCGATTACGAACCATATGCTGAATTGTTTCCAGCCATCGGCACTCCTCGTCCTTGCGTCCCCAAGCAGACAGACATGTCGATCCAATGGTGGTAAGAGGTGAAGTCAACGATTTCATGTGCTGTCGCCAGGTGCATGGTGGACCTCCGCGTGGTCACTTCCAGTTGAGTTCTGCAAGAGCAAGCAGAGTGCGATAGGGCAAACGCTCGACTGACATACACAAGACGTGACCGTCTGAACAAGCGCAGCAAAATCAGCTTACTGAAGGGAACACGTGCATTCCCTAAGGCACGACGTCTGAGTTCAGCGTTGCAAATGTATTGTTGCCACCACACATGAGCAGTCCTCCTCAAGCACCCGTTGTCGAAGGCCGACAGCCAGCGCATGTCATCTACGCGAACTGGCCATTACTCGCTTCCATACAGGAACACTGCCAGACCCTTTATCAAGAACGAGACATCCCGACGAGACCACAAGTGCTGCAGGTTGACAAATGCCGACCGAACTTTGGCGATGAGAAGAGAAACTTCTCTTCTAGTGGTATCACCAGTAGACATACAGCTGCTAAGGTAGACAAAGCTATCCACTTGTTAAAGCTGTGTATCTTTAATGGTGAGCACGGGAACGGGTGAGTGCCAATCCTGAAGCAGCACTTTACACTTTGAAAGGGAAAAGCACATTACGTACCTAGATGCCTCAGTTGCCAAGCGGTCTAGAATGATTTGCATGCTCTGTGAGTCGTCACCAAGTAAGGCAATATCATCGGCATAATCTAAGTCGGTCACTTGCTTACCCGGTAGTAGCTGTAGACCAAAACCTTGGTGACGGTCTAGAGCTCTCGACAGGACGTCTTCAGTGGCAAAATTGAAGAGGAACGGGGACATAAGGCAGTCCTGTCGTACACCGCTATTGATAGCGAAGGACGACGAAAGCCGGCCATACATCCTCACTCTGCCGGAAATGTGGTAACACAGTGCGCGTAGGATGGCAGTGTACTTTTCTGGGACACCGTTCCTTAGCAAACAATGCAATATATATATATATATATATATATATATATATAATACACGATCTGTGGTACAGATATTGTGCCATCAGAATCATGGCTGAAAAAGAAAACGGTAAGAAGAATAAGAAAAGAGCAACAACAACAAAAGTTTTTTGTCCAGTTTACCAATCACAGTTTTTGAAATTTTATTTTCTGAAATCATGAAATTTTATTTTGTTTGTTTTTTTAAGAGGAGGAAGAAGGGACACCGCAACACACCGACACACACGTCTGCCGTTGACATCGATCTTGTGCCATGACTTCCAAGGTCTACAACCAGCAAGTATCCGCATCTCTCGGACCCCAACCAGGCAGTCGACAACAACCGGCGGAGGCCAACTGTTTAGTCAGCTTTTTCATGCGGCTTCTCCATGTTGTAGGCTGTCCACCAAAACGTCTCTTCCATCCCTGTACAGTAACCGCAAACAACGCATGACACAGGTAACGCTGGACAGGCATGCCCAATACGTGTCCCAAGCACCGCAGCTGATGAAGTGAGACGATCTTCTCGAGCGAGTGGCTTCCACATCCCAAGACACGCTGTCTAACTTCCACATTGCTTACGTAGTGCCGCCACCACACAATGCCATAGTGCAGGTCGACCAACCGAGTCGAATACGGCCAGGAATGCAAACATGGTAAGCCCCTAGTAAAGGTGGCAGTGTTCCAAGATTTGACGGAGTGTGAATATCTGATCTACACACCCGTGGTCAGGTCGGAAGCTAGCTTGTTCTTTTCCGTAGTGCGATTCGCGAATGGGAGATGGTCTACGGAGTAGAATGGAGGCCAACAGCTTGGATGCAACCGAAATGAGACTAATCCCCCCCCTGATTGGTGCATGAAGTACGATCACCCTTCTTAAAAATCAGGACAGCTACTGATTCGCCCCAGGAAGAAGGCACCGTTTCTTCATGCCAGATCTTGTAGAACAATGAGGTTAGCTGGCTAATGATAACTGAACCTCTATATTTGAACAACTCCAGAGGTAGTCAGTCTGAGCCGGTAGACTTGAATCTTCTCGAATCGCAAGACAAGTGTGACGACCCAGGGCGGGCAACTGGGTTCGCAAGGCATATAAGTGAACGGTGAGGGCCAATTGAACGGGGAATGTACATGTTCGGCCCATCGATCCAAGCGTCTCTGTAAGTTGGCAATCGGCGAATCATCCACTTTTTAAATTCTCACTGACACCAGGTTTTCTGTGGACAGTGGATCGAATGAGTTGGAAGAGTTGGCGAGTGTTGCCAGAGAGAGTAGCAGCTTCCATTTCCAAAGCAGGCTGAGACCACCAGGCTTTACGATCACTGTGTAAGCTTTGTTTGGGTTGCCGACTAACAGAACGGTGCACTTCATTATGATTAGACTTCGATGAGATTTTTCTGCGGCGGTCAAATAGGTCAAAAGAGCACGTGGAGATGCAGGCCTTCACAGACTGACTTCCCGGAAGAGATCATGGTCCTCTTCATGAGTGTCCAGCGTTCAATGGCTTGCAGTGGGTCGTAGCTGAGTGCATCGTCCAAAGAGAATTAATAGTATTGCTAGACTGAAAGAGGAGATAAGTTATTCATATCTAGCTTATAATGCTTCATTTTCGGGGAACTTCTGAGACTTATGCGGATGCTCGCACAGGTAATAACATGGTCTGAGTCGAGAAATGTTGACTAGATGCATCTGGAAGGCATTACGCTACCCTGCCATCTGAAACTGATGGCAATGTGATCAATCTGAGACCATGACTAAGTCGCAAAGATCGGCGTCATGTAGCAGAACGCCTCCCCATTGCCGAAGACTGATGTTCGAGAGAAATAGATGATTATATTCACACAGTGTGAGAAGTCTCTCTTCATTATCTGAGCGGCTCTTATCGAGCGCATGGTGACCATCGAGGTGACTGCATGATAATAGACGACCAACCCGTGCGTTAAGATCCTCAGCAAGGACAACAAGCAAGCGCTGCTCAAGAGCTAGTGAAGTTCACGATAGAAATCGTCCTTGATCGAGTCTGAGCTGCAGTCAGTCGATGTGTAGGCTGAGATCACAGACAGGTTGAATGTCTCCTCACGATATGTGTTAATCCTGCATGTTCCCGAAGCCGAAATGCACGCAGTCGGCTATTAACCGGAAACCACTCCAGCAGTGCTGCCTCGGTTTCGCTGGTTAGCGCTATGCCAACACCAGCCAAACCTGCCGCAGCTGCTTAACACCAGATAGACGTAGATGAAATACGGCTCCGTGGTCTGTGGGAGATCTCAACTTACTCACAGTACTGGGATCTTGCAAGTGCGTTTCGGAAAGACAGTAAACATCAATGGCGAGGGATTCCAAGGTGCGCGTTAAACCAGCTTGCTACCAGATCAGCATGAGTGAACGTACACTGAAGCATGCCAGAGAGAACGGGGATCGAGGCCGAAGGAGTGCAACTAGGCGAGTTCTCTGGGTGCCGACGAGACCATCCGGAGTAGAATCATGGAAACAAGAATCATTTGGTAACGGATAATACTGAATGGTAACAAATGTACAGGGGGCGTGTGAAGGTGAGTGACGAGCAAGAGCAAAAGCAGCTGAGAGCGATATTGTAGTTGGACAGTCCATGGTTTTGTCAATGGGCGTGATACTAACTGGTTGCCCAAGCCGAAGTAGGGAGTTGTCTTAGGAGACTGAACTCCGAGGCTTTGGTTAAATAGCCTGCCCGCAAGGCAGCGGGGCGATTGGAGACTGAGTTAGCCTGATACCTAACCACTGACCTGTCTTGTATGAGTGGCACTGAAGGCACTGAGAAAGTGCCACCCAACATAGCACAATGGGTCACAGGGGTACGCAAACTATAGCACCACGTTAAGGTCCAGTCTCATTGCGATGGAAGAGAAAAAAAGCGAAACCGGTAGCGAAATGCGATGACAGGAAAGACAGGAAGAATGCCGCCTCTTTAGTACGAAAGTTCCACCGTTTGCAATCAATCAGCTGACCTAATCATCGTGGTTTTCTTCGGGTTTTTGATGTAAGATTTTAAGCTTGCTTTCAAGCCAAGTAGATTCAGTGCATGCAGACGCCTGAAACAGAGATAAAACGGGGCTTGTTTATTGCAGATGCCAAGAAGTTGACTCTAGTGGATATCCCTATTTTTCTGTGTTGAATGAGAAACCGGTAATACCAAATGTAACAACATAAAGGCGTCAGCAGTATAGCGGCACATCGTACCGACGTTCCGATGCCACTCGACCACCCTAAAAGCTGAGCTCGGGGTGATGACATCTTCAATATACATCGTCAAGCCAGTAGATCCTTTCGTGACACGGTTAGAAGATTCAACAGTTTTGTGGCTCAAGAATGAGCCGTCGTGTGTAAGAAACACTACTGCGAGCCGAATGGGTCATGTAAGTGAAGCGACAGGGAGCGCGTTAGCCTTATGGAGATATTATTTGAGTGCCGCCTACTGTGTAGACGTTCGGTAGTGTCGCATATACAAATTTTAAAATAATGGCTGATTTACCACATATTTTCTAATGTAATAATAACGACTAGTTCTGAGATTAAATCGTAAAACACCGCCGGCAATGCAAGATAGCTCAAGGGAATAGAGGTTCCGGTTTAATTTAAAATAAGTATCAGTAATGAGGAGTGGATATTCACAAGCATTTATTCTTAAGCTTAAAGCATTATCATACGAATTGCCGAGATAAATCCAATTACACCTCAATAAGCTGTTAATAAGAAAAGCGTTCTATGGGTTATTAGTTCTTGTTCGAAGAGAAACTGCAATCAGACACATGAATGCCAGTTTAGCTTATTCATACGAAAACACTAGATAATAAGGTTGGATTGACATACGACCTGGGTGCGAAAGCGTCACATCAAGAAAGAATTTATCAATAACTCGGCGAAGAGTGAAAGGGAGGACAGCGGCACTGACTCACTTGACCAAGCTGACCATCCGAATTAATTCCGCAACCGTATACTGAGTAGTTAGTTGAGCTAAACTTGGAGATGTATGTGGTAAACCCATAACCACAGGCAACTTTGATTGGATTTTTAAGCTCAGGGACGCGAACTGGATGGTATAAGCCATAGACAGGTGGGGTGGAATCTAAGTAACAAAGAGGAAACACTATGACGTAACTCGCACATGTAGTACCTTTGGGAACAACCAGGCGTTCAATACCTAATGCACCTGTGGCAGAATATCCAAACACAAAGGACTGGAGACCACTCCAGCTATTCTGCGACGATATATCATACTCAGAATTGTCTCGAATTTTCTTTCGTTGTTCTGCTCGCTTTGAGAAATGGGACGCATGTACTCGAACGATTGATTTTACAATCGATTGAGATGGTCGAACGCGCATGGTACTGTAAGAAGGGACAAAAAATAATTAAAACGAATGCAGTTGTGAATGACAAATAGCACCCATCAATGTTGTTAGTCAATTACATGTAACTGTCCCTGGCAGCTGTCATGATACCGCCACCAGGAACTTGTAAGGGGAAAACTAATCCTACAATGGAAAATGTTAGGAGCAGCACCTCACGAATGGATCTGTAAACCTTAAACGGAGCAAACGCCATACTTCTTCCGGATATCAAATAGGATAATCGTAATGGTTAATGAAAAGAACGTTCTCGCAAAATCTAATATTATTGGTAAGTAAAAAGAGCAGAGGGTAGAAAACGTTCAGGAAATTCGTAACGAACAAGTAAATATCGGTACTCTGCGCCCAGTAGTTGTCTCGTGCCTGGCAAGCATTAAACCGCGCCTATGACTGCCGTTTTGACAGGCCAATCGGGGTGAACAGACTTCCCTCGAACAGGCAATCGGAGCGGCCCGGTGCGACTTTGGTGACTAACGTAAAAAGTAGTTACTGAGTAAAGGGGACCCAGCGCGGCAAAGCAGACAGGCGGATTTTATGAAGCCTAGACATAAGAAATCGCGCAGTATCAAAATTCGACGCTCCTCGCAACGCGACATTCAAAAGCAGCAACAACTACCTAGAGGGCAGTATGAGGTCGTCTAGCGTTGCCAACTAGTCAATGGTGCTGAACAGACGGAAGGCTATCCTCAGTATTTCAAAAAATAAGGACTTAGTACTCACAATCCATAGGTGGAATCAAACGCCTCACATCCTCAAGCTCCTAGAGACCGTTGTAATATATCAACAGCTCTAATCGATCTATGCCCAAAGGCGACTTAGAACAGTGTAAGATTAATACAGCTGGCCTACGCAACGCATTCGTTTGTTCGAAATGACAAATCACATAAGTGGTTAAAACCTAAATAAAACAGCATGCATTATTTAAATTTAGTATATTTCATTTAATCAAGCGGATTCATGAAGGAGAGTATGGTAGGTATAATTACAATCACCCCATTCTCGTGTGACGGCTTCAAAGTCAATGCCGTGCGGCACTCTATGACACTCAGTGAATGGGTGTTGTAACACATTAGGTAGGTTTAAAAATTTGGGTGAATGGTCCCATATGTTAAAAAACTGCCCTGGTTAGGATGGGGGACATGTGCATACGCATTGAGAGACAGGTCAAGGAGCCCCTTATCGTGCAAATCACCGAAGTGAAGCTATGGTGCATGCCAAGACCAAGCTAACGGAGTCAGTGTGGGAACTCATGCTTAGCGCAAAGTTTTGCTTTAAATTAAGCGAGACGACGACGGAGACTCATGAAATATTAGTGCAAATGTGCGGTGTTGAAGCAGGGAGTGAGTGGTTTAGGAACTACAGAGACGAAAAGGGAAGCTCGGAAGATGAGCCGCGTTGGGGTCAACCGCAAACATGATTGATCGCAGACAATATCGAAGGAATACGACGGATGTTTGCGACCGTCGTTGGTATTGATAACAGAAGAGTCGAAGATAAGCGAGGACAGTGTAAGCAGAGTTGATCACGAACATTTAAAAAGCGGAAGAAGTTTTCCAGATTTGTATCGCACACGCCGACAGACAAACAGAAGTAAACTCAGATTTCATCGACATGACTGATCGGAAGCCGTAGCTGTTGGAAACCATTCTTGGTTGGTAGCATCCGATTCCAGATTTACCCGTCCCAGTGCCCTAAATGGGAACAGCCACTGTACGTCTGTGCCTAAGGAGGAACAATGGGTAGCTTGCGTTACATCAACCACATACCCTACATTAAGTGTAGACCAGAAGAAATAAGACCGGAAGCCAGGTGGACGGGAGCCACGTTTCATCAACGGAACCGGCCAACACTCCTGCAACATGCATAGCAGCAGCACTCCTGTCAGCGTAATTGAGAAATTATGCGTACCAGACGTACAAAAGGTGGTGGTATGGCTATAGCTCATTCCACACTGGATGCATGGAATCACTATTTGAGCCTAGCGTTGTGACGAGGTGCACCCCGACCCCCATGCGACGATTCCCAGTGTCCTAAAGCCAGTAGTGGGGGTGGAGAGAAACAGACGTGTCCGGGATACAAGGGGGGACCTGTAAAGGACAGTTGCCTCATAAATTCGAGTGCAGATGCAAAAGGCAAAGTTAGGTAAAATCACACAAGATAAGAACAGTCGAGCACATGTGCGTTATAGTTTTCTTTCAGTGAATCTTATTCCGATGCCGATGTGAATTTAAAAAATAGTACAAAATGGTCGGTAACGGAAGTGATAAAAACAAAAATAAAATAGAGTGTAATCAGCTCGTGTTTGGTGGCAACATCGAGTAAATAGTAATGACGTTCGACGTCGCATCTTGGGGAATGCGAGTATTCACTTCAACAAACTGGTTTTGTTGCGTCAGTTGAGATGGCTCGGTCACGTCCTTCGCATGGCACCTGAGCGTCTACCGCGTCGCGCTTTATTTGCTCGTCAAGGACCTGGCTGGAGGCGACCGCTTGGTGGTCAGCCTTCCACTTGGCGACAGCACATGAAATCGCTGACGTCGTGTCTAACCGCTGTTGGATCCGTACGTCTTCCAGGATGGGGACCCAAAGATGAGGAGTGCCAATGGCTTAGCACTCTTGAAGATATGGCCCGCAACCGGAATCAATGGAAGACTTGTGTACAGTATTGTGTTGATTCACATGATTAATACTACAAACATTAAAATGACAAAAAAGAGCAAAAGCGGCGTGTGAAAAACCAACTAAAGATGTTTTGTTCTACTTTTTATCGAAATGTTCCATTCTTCCTGCGGCATATTAGTTGAAGTGTGTTGCTCACCTTCAACTAGCATGCCCCGATGATTGTGACGCGTTGAATCTTGCTTATCTGTTGATCTCCATGGTTTTATACTGGCTCTGTGTCTAGTTATTAGACAGTTGAGAATACATACATACATACAGTGTAATCACAATCACTACAGAAGTCCTCCCCTAGAGCTTGTGCTGGTAAGTAATGCTCGATATAGTGTTCATGGAACAAATTGTGCTAGTATGAAAGGAAATGAGACAACACGACCTGAACTTGTGTGAGTAGGATCGCTTGTTGAAGGGCACAAGGATTCCGAGGATTGGGAATCGGTCGTGCGTTCGGCAGTGGGCAACGGTCCAGGCACAGAAGGGTTGTGAGTGGTTGAGGTTGATTCTGAACCATCCAACGTTGACTCGACGTATGCGAATTTAAGACGATCAATGCTCACAGACACCTTTGATCCATTCCTATCCAGGACGAAGTATTTCTGTATCAAGGGTCTTCGAACAGCATCGATTCGAATAAAGGCGACAAGGACAAGTATGTAAGTCAGGCAGTGTACGCTGGTTGCGCTTGCTTAGTCGAGGTGGAGTCGGTCTAATGGATCGAAAAGGGTGTTTCAGATGTTCAGCATGGGACGTAGGATTCCATTCGCCGGTGATTCGTGAGTCCAGTATCATCTCGCCTGGGAGTCTGAGGGTTGTGCCAAAGACAAGTTCGGTTTGGCAGCATCCGGCTGGTGGCAGAGTGGTCTGCGCACCTGGATTGCAAAAATAAGGTCCCCGGTTCGAATCCGCGTATGAGTGGGCGTCCTCGCGGTATACACAGCCCGCGCGCGACTGGTGGTGGACGCACGGCAGCGAAGTGCCGTTATGGCGTACAGGTGGCGTATTATTATTATTAGTATTATTTGACGGTATTGCGAATACCAAGAAGAATAGCTGGAAGGCGTTCAGACCAACGGGCATCAGGCGAACTAACTGTGATGGCAGCTTTCAGTTGTCGAGGACATCGTTCGACAAGGCCATTGGCAGCAGGATGATAAACAGTCGACAACCGAGCAGTCGACTCAAGTCACGGAAAAGGATGGAACTGAATTGAGATCCGCTGTCAGTAGTGACAGTGGCTGGCACACCGAAGAATGAAATCCACGATTCGACGAAAGCACGAGCAACAGTTTCAGAGGATATATCACGTAAGGAAATTGCGGGGGAAAACGAGGAAATCGATCAAAGCAAATCAACAGATAAGTGAAACCGTTAGGAGCTGGTAACGGTCCTACTACATCAAGGTGGGTGTGCTTGAATCGGGCTTCGGGGAGTGAAAAAGTTCCAGGAGTTGTAACAATGGGTCTGTGAACCTTGCTGGTTTGACAATTAAGACAGATTTTGGCCCATTGTCGATGTCTGTGCGCATATTGGGTCAGATGTAACGGTTGATAATTAGTTTCACAGTAGATCGAGTACTGGGGTGCGATAATCCATGGAGATGGCAAAATCCACTCACCGGCAGGACTGTGGAACAAACGGTCTAGGTTTACCGGTAGAAATATCGCAGTAAATTCTTGCGTCAGAATTGAGCACGGGCAATTGCAAGAGTTTTAACGAAGTGTTCGATTGAAGCTGTGTTATTTCCGGGCCACTGGCTTGGGCAACGAGACTGGACCTTAACGTGGTGCGACGGTCAGCGTACCTCCTTGACCCATTGAGCTGTACGGGCATCTTAAGAGTACTCCTACCAGATTGGTCAATGGTGAGAGGTCAGACAAACTCAGTCTCTTGGTCTTCCAGGTTGAGGGTTTGAAAAGGGATGGCGTCCATTTCTTTAAAACTAAAACATTTCCAACTCCCTGCTGCCTTGCGAACAGGCTTTTGAGCCAAAGGCTTTGGATGCGGACCCTAATCGTCTTCCTGTCTAGGTCTGGGCGCAATGGCAGTATTCCAGCCAACATATAACCATGACATTTTCTTCAAACATAAACTTCATCCTGCATCGGCCGTCGAGCAGTTTATCAAGGGGCGCCTTATCTGCTGCATACAGCAGGGCAGATAAGCGAAAACATGCTACTGCTGGCGCCTCCCTTCTTTCTTTTCCACCTTTTTCTCTTACTCCCATCCCGGCCCCTATTACTTACCTTCCTTCTATAATTCCCAGCTTAATTGACAGCAACCGAAGTGCTACTGCAGTAGAACCATCTGCAGCCACCTCGCGATACGCACCGGACGCGCTTCCGCAACAGTCCCTTATAAGGCTAGGCTGTCCCGTTTCCACGTTCACACTCTAAGACAAGTAGGTCAACAAGCTGCACTTGCACGCACCTTGGACACACTGGGGTTGTTGAAATAACTGCACCCGGCTCGTCCTCTGGTTATTGGTTGCACGTATCCGGAGACGCCGGTGCAGCAACCACGGGTCAAGCTGGTGTAGGTATCATTCTAAGCTCCAAGGCTGAGCCATTGCTGGTTGATTGGATTCCGGTGAACAGCCGTTTATGTGCAGCCCGGTTGACGACATCAGCTAAGGTGAATTCGCGAAGAAGTACAAAACGTTGCCTGTTCGTGAATTCCGCTTATGCCCCAACCGACTGCAGTTCAAATGCTGTCAAGGACACATTCTATCACGAACTGAACGCCTTACTACGCAGTGCTACTAGTTCAGATATTATAGTACTTGGTGGGGATATGAACGCACAAGTAGGGCGTCTGAGCTCTGCAGAAGCTCAGTTGGGTGGTAATTATGGGCTTAACTCCGAACGGACTGACAACGGCAAGCGTCTGCTACAACTATGCGCGGGGCACCAATTGTTTCTTAGTAGCACTGCTTTTATACACAGTGGGCGCCAAAGTGCCACTTGGCGTCCCCCTGTAGCTGGCCAGCAATGGACCCAAATTGACCACAGAGCCATATGTTATAGATGGCGTGGTTCCAACCCGGATCGTCGCTCGTACCGGAGTACCTGTTTCGACTCTGATTATGCCTTGGTACGCTGTCGTTTCTCCATGAACTTTACCGGGAGACGCACCAAGCGTCTCCTCCGATTGGCAACTGAGAAATTGTCTGGGCCCTCCGTCAGTCAAGCCTATCAAGATGCACTACATAACGAACTGTCTTGTTTTAATGACACCGATCTTCAGTGGAATAAGATCTTGGCCGCCATGCACAATGCATGAGCATCTGCTTGTGGCACTATCCATCGTCACCGCACCAGTCACTGGATATCCGGGACATCGGTGAAACTGTTGGAATCTAGAAGACACCTACCGGCTGGCTCTGAATACAATGTGACCAGACGGGCTATTAGGCGTGAACTAAAGCAGAGCCTAAGTATTTATAAGGAAGTCTGGTGGACCACTCGGGCTAAAGAAATGAAGGAGGCAGGAGCAGTAGGCAATTACCGCAAGCTCTTCCAGCTAATCCGCACCACTGGCCCCAGAAAACCAGGCGTCAGTGAGACAATCAGAGACAGCGCGGGTGCGCTGATACACAATAAGGAGTGCCGTATGGCTCGTTGAGCGGAACACTTTCAAGATCAGTTCAGCTGGCCCCCTGATCCCTGACGCCTTCCTCCTCAGGTGATGCAGGACGAGCCATGGACGGTTAGTTTAGAGCCTCCGTCGGAGGCTGAGGTCCGAAACGCGATCACAGCCCTCAATCGTTTTCTTGTCGCTGGCCCTGATTCCCTCCCACCTGCACTATTTAAGGATGGAGGTGAGGTCCTCCGCAAAGCAGACCTCCTTATTCGAACGTATCTGGAAGGTAGTGTTCTGACTAATTGGAACGAATTGATGATAGTGGCAATATACAAGAAGGGCAGTCGCACAGACTGTTCTAACCACAGGGGTATTAGCCTAACGACAGTTGTGACAAAATTATTGGCCTTGATTCCCGTTCGTCGCTTCACTGCGGAACGGGAATCTCAGGTTAGGAAAGAGCAGGCCGCTTTCCGCCCAGGACGTGGCTGTATGGACTATATATTCACGTTGCGGCAGGTGTTAGAGCAACGCCAAGCATACCGCAGACCGACAGTAGCTGTGTTCCTCGATTTCAAGAATGCGTTCGATTCAGTCGATCAATGCATTCTGTTCGAAATACTTGCGCGGAAAGGTGTTCCCACGAAATAAGTGAACATCCTTCGTGCTCTATACTCGAACACTACAGGCCACGTCAGGGTCTACGGTGGCCTATCGGCTAGCTTTTCGACCACAAGTGGCGTTCGTCAGGGTTGTCCGATTTACCCATTTTGGTTCAATTTCGTTGTGGATTCTATCATAGAGTGTTCCCTTGCGGAATCGCATGATGTAGGCGTTGAAGTGCTGCCTGGTGAACGGTTAGTTGATATTGATTATGCGGACCATATCGTCTTGCTTTTCGACCATGTTGCGACGGCACAATCAACCCTGAATAGCCTATCCAGAGTGGTACCATTATTGGATATGCACTTCGCACCTTCAAAGTGCAAAGTGTTGCTGCAGGACCACCGGCCAATTGATGACCCCTTGACGCTTGCTAACGAGAAACTCGAGGTGGTTGATCAATTCACTTATCTTGGCAGCTGCATCAGCAACGATGGGTGCATAGAAACTGACGTCAGCTCACGCATTGCAAAAGCCAGAGCTGCCTTCTTGAACCTGCGACATCTTTGGCGACAGAAGGGAATAAGTTGCGTTGGCTAGGGCACGTGCTACGTATGCTTGGTTACCGCTTACCAAAGAGGGCCTCACCTCCATCCTTAAATAGTGCAGGTGGGAGGGAATCAGGGCCAGCGACAAGAAAACGATTGAGGGCTGTGATCGCGTTTCGGACCTCAGCCTCCGACGGAGGTTCTAAACTAACCGTCCATGGCTCGTCCTGCATCACCTGAGGAGGAAGGCGTCAGGGATCAGGGGGCCAGCTGAACTGATCTTGAAAGTGTTCCGCTCAACGAGCCATACGGCACTCCTTATTGTGTATCAGCGCACCCGCGCTGTCTCTGATTGTCTCACTGACGCCTGGTTTTCTGGGGCCAGTGGTGCGGATTAGCTGGAAGAGCTTGCGGTAATTGCCTACTGCTCCTGCCTCCTTCATTTCTTTAGCCCGAGTGGTCCACCAGACTTCCTTATAAACACTTAGACTCTGCTTTAGTTCATGCCTAATAGCCCGTCTGGTCACATTGTGTTCAGAGCCAGACGGGAGGTGTAGGTAGTGGAAAGACGAAACGGAAAGGGCTTAACTACATAAAAAACTGTCATTCCATAAATAAGAATGCTGTAGCTGACCTTGCGTAAAGCATGGTCTTCGGTAGGCCGTCAGTTAGTAGCACAATCTGGTCGGAAGACGAAACTTAGTCGGCACAATAAATCGACGCGTTAGATCCGATGATCGATGGACGAGGCCAGCAGACAGACGACGATCAACAGAACAACATGGTAGAGCGTCGGATCATTGGAATGTAGAGAGCAGAAGGAAAAATCCTTTGCCAGCTCCATCGCCTCCTGTTCGTCACAGGGATCAAGGTGGACATTGCAAGTCGGTGCCAATGGAACCGCTGCGTTGACACAGGAAGCAACAAGATCCGAGTTTAGTCAACAGGTAAGAATCCAATTGATGTTTGAAACATTCCTCCGACTGCGCATCAACGACATACACAGGTAGATTATTCTATTCGTTCACTACTCTGGTAGACAGAGTGACGTCACAACGGACCCGAAGTCTCCTTTGTTTAAACAATTTCCAATGGTGACCCCGAGTCGAACTGAAAGAATTGAGTGGAAAGAAATTCTGCAATTCAACTCCAAGTTCACCTCTAACGATACGCCGTGTGAAAATCAAATCTCCGCGATCTCGATGGTAGGCTAGGGAGAACAAGTTCAGGCACTGAAGACAATGCAAGGCAGGTTTCGTAACTCAAGAACGGATTTAGATCCTCTCCGCTGAACTTTCTCAATCAAGTTGCATTCAAATTTGGAAAGAGGATAAGCAGCGGGCAGTCCATACTCAAGAATTGGACGTACATGAGAAGTGAACAGGAGCCTGAAGATCTCCGGAGTCAAACGAGAGAAGGATCGTCGTATGGCGAAAAACAACCTGTTGGAAGAAGTGACTTTCCTCAAAGTATCTTCAGTCGATTTTAGGTCTGGGGTCACAGCGACGCCGAGGTCCCTCTCACGATTAGAGTTTGGCAGAAAAAACCCACCGATATGATAAATTCCAAGTGGTTCGGAGGCACCGATCGGAAGAACGGAACATTTATCGTGCTTTTGAAACGAAATGATGAAATGAAATGAAATGTGTCAGCTTATACGCCGTAACGGCGCTTCGCTGCCGCGCGACCACCACCAGTCGCGCGCGGGCTGAGTATACCGCGAGGACGCCCACCCCTACGCGGAGTCGAACCGGTGACCTTATGGTTGCAAAGCAAACGTGCAGACCCCTCGGCCACCGGCCGACTAATTGGGTAATTGACACCGGATCGACCAATCATGCAGCGAATCGATCCTTGTTTGTAGTAAATCCGCTTCATCTAGACAGGAGGCCCATCTATATCTTTAAATCATCTGCGTAAATCAAACAATCTGCCTGTAGTACAGACGCCAGATCATTACTGAATACTGAATACTGTATTATAGAGCAAGTAGAAATGGATTCTGTACAACTCTTTCGAAATATTGTGAAAAACATTATAATAGTTGTCAACCGTGAATATCCTTGTCGTTCTCATGTAATATTTAAAATATTCCACTTACGATATTTCAGGATTCACAAATGTGATATGTCATCGTAAGTATGCAGTCGTTCTCTGAATCGAATAGAGGCAAAATGCAAATCTAACAACGTTTTGAACTGTTGCACAGATGTTGCCTCAATCACATGTTCGGGCAAACTATTCCAAATGTTTACCACTCTCCGTTCGAAGCACAGTGGGTGGGGAACACGTTTCATATCCGGCACAACAAGTTTGTATCTGTGTCCGCGTGTGCTGCATGGCCCTCGTAAGTGCAGCATTGGCCTTAACATGGGGAACTCACCGAGATGTAGAATTCGGTAGGTCATAATGAGGTCGACTCGTACCCGACGGTAGGACAAGGTGTAGAGTCCTAGTTTCTCGCACCGGTCTTCAAACCCAAAGCCACGTAAACTCGGGATCAGCCTGGTAGCAACGTGTTGGACCCGTTCGATCTTTTGTGCCTCGCCTCGGGTAATCGGAAAGTAGGCGGGCGAACCGTACTCTAGCATTGGTCTAATGATAGAAGAGAACAGGCGAGTGGCAACCTCTTCAGACCATGTGCAGAAGCTACGTTTGAGCGCCCAAAGCATGCGCAGTCCGTTCCGATATAGCCTGTTCGTGTTGTCCACGGACTTCAAATCGTAGCGTGAGAGTACACCTAGGTCCTTCACGGAGGGTGTGGGATATAGCGTTTGGCCGTCAAGGGTGTAGGTTCGGCCGTCTGCACCCTTCCCCAGGCTCATAAATACCGACTTGGCTGGGTTGACTTTAAAAAGTTCAGGGCCAAAAACAGAGCCTTGCGGAACACCGCTGGTCATATTTACAGGGAAGGAAAGGGTCTAATTTACTTGCACACGGAAAGCGCGGTCGTGCAGAAAATCAGTGAGCCAAGAGAGAATTTTTCTTGAAACACCAATACTGCGAAGTTTGCTAGGCAAAATTTCGTGTGGAACCTTGTCAAAAGCTTTACTAAAATCCACAAATACGACATCTAGCCGATTACCAGCATCTATGGATTTAGCCCACTTTTCTCGAGTTACCAGAAGATTGGTGACACATGAACGCGAAGGACAAAACCCATGTTGCGCAGCTGAAATGATCTAGAGGTTCTGGAAGTGCAGGTTGAGAGCTCGCTTAAGAATCCTCTCCATAACCTTGCAGACAACAGATGTTAGACAAATGGGCCGATAATTCGTAGGATCTTGTCGATTTCCTCCTTTGTATATGGGCTTGACTATGCCCATTTTTCAGGCAAGCGGAAGGCGCCCGGTCTCAAGTGAGCGCCGAAATACGTGGCAGATAGGGATAGCAATATATTCGGCCCCAATCTTGAGGAAAAGAGGATGGAATCCATCAGGTCCCGGGGAAGAGTTTGGATCCAGCTCACACAAAAGTTTGTACACCATACCAACATTTATGTCCATATCACTGAGAATGGAGAGCAAGGACAAAAAACAATCAACTGACGGCACTTCTGTTCTATAGACCGATGAATAATGGTAAGTTAAAAGACAAGCTTTATCAGCATGGCCGTGGACCACAGTGTTAAGAGCGTGGGAATGCAAGGACGATATTCCACTTCCGGCTCCGGTGCTCCTTTTCACGTGGGAGAAAAGCAGTTTCGTTATAGACTTGAAATGTTCAGCCAGATGACCTTCGTATTGTTGTCGTTTCGTATGTCTTTTCGATGCACATACGTTCCGGACCAATTTATAATTTCTATAACCAGTTGCCAATCTCGAAAGCCTATAGCGATTCCAGTTTGTCTTTGGTTCATGAGCGATCGTAATTCTCGGTCAATCCAGGGGGACCTCTAGTAAATGGTTTTCGTTTGGATATGGGAACATCATCAATAAAGGACATTTTCGAGTAAACAAGGCTCCAAGCATCATCGACGTCTAAGTGCTGGGGAAGACTCCAATCCTGCTCGCCAGCGACCATCTTCAAGCGGTTTGGAGCAGCACGCCAGAAATGCCGACGACAGACAGTGGTTGTGAATGCTCGACCGTGTGGTCCAGTGAAAGGAAAGTAGGCAGTAGTCATTCCTTCCGATTGGTGGTAAAACATTCAAATAAGAAACATCCGATAGTGCAGGCGAAAGCACAAGATCGAGTATGTGCGGCGTCTGACCAGGGATAATGCGAGTAGATGCCGCGACATGTTGAAGAACAGCTTCCAGAAACGTAGAATCGAAGGAGGCAGGTGCAGCATCACAGTGAAAAAGATCCCAATCAACATTAGGGGCATTAAAGTCCCTCACAAAAAACAATCCTTATTTCCACCATGCTTCTTTAGAGACACCAGTAAACGATCACTAGAACTCAGGGGAGCTCTGTAAAAGACACCGAGAATGAGGGATCTACATCCATCGTGAATACGACACAAAAGCACTTCGGAGAAGTCATCACTTCCCAAGACAACAACTACATGGACCTTCAGGTTTTCCTTCCAATAGAGTATGACGCCGCCCCCGATCTCAAACCAATGCGATCAGCTCGTGAGAGACTGTAACCAGGAATATGTACTTCGGGATCTGAGATTTCTGGGGACAACCATGTCTCCGTAAACGCCACAAGGTCCGGGAGAAGTACTGACGCAAGGTGCACAACTTCATCTAGTTTGTTACGCAGACTGCGCACGTTCGCAAAAAGTGCGTGCAAACCAGTTGTTGAGCTTAATGTCCGGGAAGGACAAGAACTGGCTTCCAGCGCGTTCTCTGCACTTTCCGAACCACGCGAAAATCCTCAATATGCAAATCGGCTTCACCGTTTGCACGGCGAGTTCTTAATTCATTGGCTGCAACCTTCATTTTAAGGCGGTCTTCCGGGGATAGATCCCGTAACACGTGAAAGGGCTCCCCCTTGAGGCGCGAAGTCCGTCGAAGGATCCGACGGCATTCATCTTCACTTTGGCATACTACCTTAAGGGGACGCATCTAGGAAGAATCTTCGTGTTTTCTGCCAAGTCGAAAAGCAGAGACGATATTAATCCCCGGTTCCTCCTAATCGAACAGTAGCGAGACCATACGTTTTAGAAATAATTGCTCATCCGAAATTCTCTCTGCTGCTATTGTCTTATCCAACGCCGGGGCGTTCATTATGATGAGACAACGTTCCCGGTTAGGGAGTTTGGCGGTCTCGAGGATCGGTGGCTTGGAAGGCGGTTTGTCGTGGAGCAGTTTCTCCAGATGGTCTATTCTATGAAGAACCGATTTCAGCCCGTGCTTTGAAGGTGACGCTTTGTCTTCTACAGACTTGGCTATAGGCTTATATTTATGCACCATAGGAATCCGGCTTGCGAGAGCAGCCGCCGTGTTTTCCTTTACGACGGTCGCAAACGTCTTGGGCAGGGGCTTACTAAGCTGATCACTAGAAATTTGACTCTGAGGGCGGGGCAGAAATTTGTTTAAAAACTGGCGTGACAAAACCGGGGCACAAAGAGAGGAAAGAAGGCGAATTTTGGGAAACAATCGGTTGGGGATCGGAATGAGCGGGGAGTAAAAGCAGGTAAACCAGACTGAGCACGCTGGGTGTTGACTAAAGTAAGACAAGAGTCACAAAAGATACCAACAGAGGATGCTGTATACATCAGAAGACACTCATACAAATTTGGTGGGATACCACAACAAGTGATATGCAACCAGCCGTCGCAGAAAGAACATTGAACAGCCTTTGAACGGGTAAGTCCAAGTTCAAGTGAGACCGGAACTGTAGGAAAATCCCGCGAATGTTCCACCCTGGAAAACGTCGTTGATCCAACAGGGAAACCGGTGTCTTGATGTGCCAAAGGAGAGCCAAATTAACACACACGATTCACATGGTCAACCAAACAATGCCCACATGTGCTGCACTAGCAGTCCCCAATGTGCCGGCCACGTAAAGAATAAAAGAAAACAGTAGGGTCAGTAAAGAAAACGAAACAGGGGAGAAGACAAGCTTATCGAATATAATAGACAATATTAAGATATAAGTTAAAATGAGCTAAAGAAGCGTAGGCCGTAGTAGACGAAGAAAAGTTTAAGACATGAAGGGGAAGACTTTAAACTGCAGACCGAGAGCGTCAAGTCGATGCTCGAACTCTTTCACCGTCGGTGCCATCACGACGTCTGCAGGCAATGCGTCCCAATAAGCTATAACCCTGCGCGATAACCGAAAAGCTGCCCAAACCCGGTCAGACCGGGGTTTGTGCAACTTTAATAGGCGGCCACGAAGGGTTGGCACTCGAGTTAGGCGAAACAGTCCAGTCAAATGAGGACCAATCTGACCCATCAATACACGATATGTGAGGACCAAATCGCCCCGAAACCGCCTGTACAACATGGAAAAAATATCCAACTTACGTAGCCTCTCCGGGTACCTCAGCCTCTTCAATCCGTGCACCATTTTCGTCCCGGACCGCAGGACTCGTTCAACTGCCATCTTATCATGAACCAGGCATGGAGGACAAGCCTGAACACAGTATTCCAAGTGCGGCCATACAAAATCCGAAAATAGTTCAACGAACATTTCGGTGGTCATGATCGCGAATGACCTGCGGATCATCCACAATATGTTGAAACCTTTGCGAGCAGCTGTCGTCCAGTGTTCACTGAACTTGAAGTCAGATGACAGCAAAACACCGAGGTCAGATTGGAGTTGAACTCGCGGGACCTCGTTGCCGACAAGCAAATAACGCGTCGGCGGGTCATTAGGACCAACGCGTAAAACGGAACATTTCGCTAAATTAACGGGCAACCGCCACAAAATGGACCAGTCCCAAAGTCTATCCAGAGCCCCCTGTAGGGTCAGTGGACCAATCGGATCGTCTATCGCGAACCAGACTTTCAAGTCATCCGCAAGCATTAGGGATAGCACACCCAATTCATCAGGTAGGTCATTATTATCATCATCATCATTATACACATCAGCTAGAGGTGGGAAAACACCTCCGCTATTGTGCCGCAATACATGAAGGAAATACATGGTTGGCGGCATCCGGTTTCGGATTTGCCTGTCACTGTGGCAAGCCACAGGACGCCTGCGCCTACAGAGGGACCATGGGTGGCTTGCGCTGCACCACCCACAGCTCCAACCACACACCCCATATCCAGTGTAAACCCAAAGGAATAAGACCGGGAGGCATGCGGAGGGGAGCCACGTTTCATCAACGGAGCCGGCCCACACTCCTTCACGGGCAAACACAAGCACGCTATATTTGGGGAATCAACCGCACACAAGGCGGTGGCTGGACCGTAGTCCGCTTCACACTGAGTGCATGGAACCACTCTTCGAGCCTAACACGGCCACAAGGACCGTGCACCCCGTCCCCTCCAGCAACGACCAACTGTCTCCTGGAGCCAGTATGGACGAGGTAGTGGGTAATAGACAGGTAGGCACCTTGTCAACATGCACATCAAGCGCAGCCACACCGGGGATATCAAACAACAGCCAATCATTTGAGAGAGAAAGAAAAAGAGAAATACTCGATTAATGCATAAGGAAACGGTGACATAAACCTTAAGTTAATGAGCACATGTAGTAAGTTGTTTACAAACGAATCCCAGATAAGTTCGCGAGGTCAGAAAGTATACTTTACGGAATACCTCGAACACAAAATGCTATGGAAATCGACTACAATTGGCTTAAGCGAAGTGTGCAAGTTAATAGAGTACAGGTAGACATTTATATGAGAAAGAAAAGCATTTAGGCAAAATTGAAAACCCACCACCTGAAATAAAGAGACTTAGCATGCAAGCACGCGGTCAGTAAATCGAATGCAGCGTGCCTACAAACGCTGTGCCGCCTCTGTCTACCTTCTCTGCAGGACCCATCGTCGCTTC